AGCAGGTAGCTGTTTCAGAGGAGCAGGAACATAAATGCTCAGGTCATTTGAACAGGCTTGTAACCCTCTGGATGCCATTTACTTCAACGAAGTGCAAGCACTTGGCATTTTAACCCTTGAATCGCAATCTAGACTCAAAAGCCTGGGCATTTATTTAATGTAAAATGCTTTTGCACGTCCTTGTGGGACTTGATCTGTGTTGCTTATTCTCTGCTATTACTCTACTCTAATGCATTTTCCTTATTTTTTAACACATTTTTCTTATTTTTATATCTCGTTGATCCTTCTTGATTACCTATCTGGATAGGCAAACAAGACGAATAGGAAGAGTCCTTACCTCAGTAGGTTATGATGGAAGGGCCTCACTGACCCCTTTGCTCGGTGCCTATAGCATGTCATATGGTAAGTGTCATTACTGGCATTAAAGGGACAATTAGCGGAGTAAAGCGGCATTCAGCTTGAAGAAGGAGCTGTACCATGTTGTCCAGTTAAGACAAAGGTAACGGAAGGAGACAGTGTGCCTAGGAAGCTCATACTGACATTTCACTTAAAATTAGCCACCATGATCTTACACGGATCCTACAGACGGCTTTTCAGAAGTCCTAATTCTTCACAGAGCTGGGAATTAGCTAAGCCCTTCTGAAAATCAGTTCTGTATTATTTTTGGCAGCCCTCAAACCCAGATTGCCCAGTTGCTTGCCTATCTGCTGCCCTGACTGGAGACACCTTCCATTGGAAGAGATAGCAGTTATTGGCACCGTCTCTGCCCATATTTGGCCCTATCCCCACCTCATGAAGAATCTCTGCAATACGAACCAGAGGCCTCAACAACAAAGTCTACTTCATCCCATGAAGTATCTTACAACCTGGCATTTTCTCAGCTTGCTATACTTATTATTCTTTGTACACCCAGGTCAGTTTGGCCCAAAAGGCAATTTGGGCAATGATCAGCAACGAGATCATGTGAGTCTTTGAGTAAGCAGATTTGATAGAATGCAAGTCAATATTCTGATTTTCAAGGAGTTTACAAGTCGGCGAGGGAGAGCTCCGGATTTCATTCGGAAGAACTTATTCCTTAGAACTCCTCTATTTGGTTGAAAAGAGGCAGAAGGCTCAAGAGAAATATTCTGGGAAAATAAGATCAGGGAGGGCTTCATGTTCTCCAAATGCCGTTTTGTTAATTTAAGCTTCTGGATGGGGTGGGATGATGTTCTTTTTAAAAAAAAAAAAAAAAAAAGAACATTTTTAGTAGTTTCCCTTTGAGAAACAGCTTCCCTAGCACTGCCACTCAAACAGATTGCTGCGCAGACAAAACTATCACTGACTTAATTAATCCAAATTTAAAGGAATGGTCCTTTCTTTGTGATGACTCCATGACAATCAACGCAAGGGTTAAACAAAGCCTATCCACATTAGCTCAGTTGTAGTCCGGGCTGAACTGAGCCAGCCCGGGGTGAACACAAGGACATACCGTCCCATAAAAACAATGTCTGTTTCTCATTTGTAGGTAGTAAATAAGATCTATTTTACCTTTCAGCAAAGCTATCAAGTTTTCCCAACTCATCTGACAGACCAACAAGAGCATCCAGTGTCCCCACCTGCGCAAAAGATGAGAAGTAGGTGAAAGATGCACAAGTTTGTCTAAGGCTTCTGTTGGCAGAGTCTTAGGGACACCGACTTGTATTTAGCACTTGTGAATTCAATAGTTTGGCAGAACTTTATTTACTTAGTGGAAAAAAGTAGCAATTCCTTTATCTGAGACCTAGGGCATAAAAAGCCTTTTCCAATAAAGGAAAAAATGGATGTGTAGTCTCAAGATTACACGTCAATGTCTTCCTTCCTGTTTTCATTCCCATATCATCAAGTAGCATAGACTGGTCTTTTACGTGATAAAATAGTGACTAGAAATGCACACAATATACATACAAACAAATCTGATGTATTGAGCAAACCAAGGGAAGCAGCACTTATTCAAAAAGGTGTCTCTCTTTGCGTTCTTTGCTATTACCAAAGACTAAGGCTCTCACAAAGCCATTTCCTCCAAGACCAACATCTGCTTTTTGTATGACTCTGTCACAGTCATAATCTTATGTTTATGGTATTGCAATATATTGCTGAACATTTTCTTGTAATGTTGCGAGTTCAACATTATGAAGGGTCAAGCTGAAGGAGAAGGAACAAATTTTACGTAGAAAAATTAGCAGAGTATTAATGGGCTGGTTGCATCTTCAGATGCTGCAAATGCTTTATTTCCTTTGACATTCGTGGACTCGCACCAACACTGGCTGCATAAGGCCCATAGATGGTAAAAATCTTATCAATCTCAGGTGCACAGGCAAAAAGCAACATTCCCAGCCTGAAACATTCATGTGACAATTCAGTAGGTTATTACTTGAGAACAGGCCACGTTCCCCTTTTACTTGCATCCTTATGTAATTGGGATAGCTCAAGTTATAACTTAATCATCTTTTTGGATTAAAGCCAGATCCTGGATGCACTAAGAGTAGCTTCGTTAAGGGATGGGTTATGGCAACTCCCCAAGGAACCCAGTTCTACGTCTGTGGTAACTCCATTGACTTTAATGCAGCATATTTGGATTTTTCAAAGCCACAAATGAAATAAAAATAAGGTGCAGATCTTGTAAAATAAGGATTAAATAATGCAAAGGTATAAAAAAAGTCTGGATTAATACTCTCCCTATTTATATGATGATATGAAGCTGGGTAATGTAGCTGAATACACACATACATCAATTTCCCAAGGAGTAACATATATTATAGCACTGTTTTCCCTGTCAGCAGTCTTACTGGCGCGGTTCGAGATACTTAGCTACTCCCTTTGCATTAGCGATCCAAGACGTACGATGCTGTATGACTTTCATGACTGGGAGCAAAAGGTACATTGAATGCAATAGATTAGTTATTTAACTGGTCATCTTCACTCCTTATACATCTATCCTTCCAATGGGAAGGTCAGCTTCAAGCACAATGACTTCTTTTCTCTCTGATCAATTTTCAGCTGACTGAACACAACTCATTCCCCGACTGCAATCTTCTACTCTCTGCATATTATCCCAAAAGATATATCCTACATTTATTCCACAAGTCTTTAGCCCTGGCTAATGCTGCTGTATCGCCCATACACAAACCCCTTCCTCATTTACCTTTAAGTCTGGAATATGGAATTTGCTGTTGCTGGACAGGTTGGATTTAGACGTCACCGTGTTCATCCTCTCCCATGCCTGCAGATTTGTTTTATCTCCCGGGGCAGAAATTAGCCAGAACTCCGACATGATCTAATATTTTCCCTTCGCTCCTGGTCACTGTAGACACACAAAGCAGGTAAGCGGCTAACAGAGCGCCGCACAAAACGGGCTCTTCCCTAAGAGCAGAAGAAGTTAGAACAGATTAATGATTTTTTTCAGAAACACGAGGACAGTGAGTCAGCCCTGTGTCTCAGGCTGAAATGGAGCATGACCTTCTCCAGAAGGTCAGGACAGAGCGCGGCCGTTCCTCCTTTCTCAGGGTTGTCCCACCCAGTTTCTGAGCGGAGAAACGAAGCTTCCTCCTCCCTCCCAGCCTGCTCCATTCGCCTGGCGTTCTAAGTCCAGTCTCCGTTCAGGAGTTTGGGGACTTCACCGAACCGTCCAAACGTAATTAAGGATTTCTGCTTGATAAATATCGTCTCTCAGATTTTCGGACACTGGTAGGCAAAGCTGAAAACAAGATGTAAGAAGACTTCTGCTCAACGCATAAGCTGCCACGGATGCCAGTGGTGGGACAGAACATTCCTTTCTCTTCACAGGTTGGGTGGGAAGGAGCCGGAGGAAGGGGGGCCGCGGCAGACCGAGCGGGCACGGGCAGAACGCCACCGACCCGCGGGGGACAGCGTCAGGGCGCCACCGAGCAGGGCAGCGGG